GAGGAAGGGTTTGTTTGGGCTCAGAGAGACAGTCAGTCCATCACAGCAGGAGAAGGCAAGGTAGAGTTCTTAGGGATGGGAATGTGGGGCTGGGGTGAGGTTGACCTATAACCCTCAATCCTACCCCTACAGTTTTATATTCGTCAGCCAGGTCCCATGTCCAGAAGGTTCCACAACCTCCCAAGACAGTGCTACTAACTCAAGACCAAGTGTTCAAATACATGTGCCTTGTGGGGGACATTTCACATTCAAACCATAGCACAAAATCCAAGAGAAAGTAACATTCAAAACTCTGAAAACATTAACAGCAACAAATTTGACTGACACGATAAAATTAGAACTATTTTTAAAATGGCTGAGAAAATGTTGGAAAATAGCTGAATCAAATATGATCACAATTTATCCTAAGTAGTTCATATAAACTAATATGAAATACATAGTATCATAATAATATATAAGGACACAATTATCTGGATATTACAAGTCCCTAAGACAGTTAAAAACAACAAAAGTCTCAGATTCTTTGCCAGGTGTGGTGGTGTACACCTTTTATCCCAGCACTCAGGAGGCAGGGGCAGGCGGACCTCTGTGAGTCCAAGGCTAGCCTGGGCTATATAGCAAGTTCTGGGCCAGTCAGGACTACATAGTGAAAGGTAGCCTCAAAGAAAAATAAATAAATCCACCACAGTCAAACAACAATAAAATACCAAAAGCCCCTGAAATGTCTGGATGTAAGGGCTTAGGAAATTCCTATATGGACCTGCATGACATAGACAATGGCAGACTATAAAACCATGTGTATTCTAGTGACAAGTGCAAGCGAGATAATTATGTGAAGAGCATGCACATGGAGAATATAGGACATGAAATATGAGAAAAATCTAAGAGTGGGAGTATGAATGCATTCTTTACTTTTGAAAATGTCCTTCCTTGGATGAACTACCTTCACCAACATGCTCAGTATGACTATGTGAAGTGCTAAGTCTGGCAGGATTTTCATAAGGTTTATAAAAACCTTTCTTTATAGCCGGGTGTGGTGGCACATGCCTTTTATCCCAGCACTAGGGAGGCAGAGGCAGGTGGATCTCTGAGTTCAAGGCCAGCTTGGTTTACATAGTGAGTTCCAGGACACCTGGGGCTACAGGGAGACCCTGTCTCAAAAAGACCAAAAAAACAAAACAAAAACAAAACAAAAAAACCTTTTCTTTATATTTATACAATGAAAAAGGTGAGAACAATTTTCAAAATTTTTCTTTGAAGATTAAGATTATTTTGCACAAGATTAATATTGGGGGATTGTAATACCTTAAGTACAGCACATGTAAAGGCAGAAGTACATCAATTCCTAGAAAGAACAGAGATCAAATGTTGCATAAACACTCTTGAGTGTCCTCAGTTTCCATGCTGTGCCCAGGATGAACAGAGAGAAACTCCCCTCACCGGAAAGACATTGCAGCACCCTGGGAAGGGCAGGATGGACCACGGGATGGGCAGACCAGTGGCTCCTGCAGTGCAGAGGAACGAGAGCTGAGACCTGAAAGGGATGGAGTCAGAAGGGTGGAGAAAGGGCAGGCCACTTCTGCTTAGCTTTTGCAGCCTTGTCAGAGAATGGCCAGCAGCTGGGAAAGATATGCATTTCAATTAGCTGACTTGTTTGTAATCCTGTGGTGAGTCCTCCTGAGGGGCAAAAAGAGAGCAGTGAGCCTGTCACTAAAGCAGGCTGGATACTACAGGAAGCCATCCCCAGGGCAGTCCCTGGTTCTGGTCTTTGCTGCTTTCTCCCATGCAGACAAGTTCAGGAAGGCCACTGCGTCTAGGCCCTGGCAGAGAAAATTCACATGTTTTGGGCCCAACTTCCCTTGGGTATGAGACCACAGTCAGGAAGCTAGAATCTGTATTTGAGTCAACAACCTACTTCTACTTCCCTTTAGCCCCCTGCTGCTCCCCTGTCAGCAGCTCCCCCCAGTCTGCCTTTCCCTGTGATGTCTTCACTGCTCATCTCTAGCTCTCAGGATCACTCATGCTGTCTCAGCCATAGACAGAGACGTACCCAAGAGAAGTCCAATAGCATTGGGCCTGGCATTGGCTGTCACGGCTCTAGCTATCCAGGGAAGGAGGCAGTAGCCCCCTTGGTCAACCAGGAGGTGGGCACAGCTCCCCAGCACCATGTGGTCAGACATTAGAAAGCTGCTAATCTCCACTTAGGGATGGAGAGGCCTTCAGGGAAGGCCTACACCTAGAAACGGGAGTGCCCAGGGACAGAAAGTCAAGTTTATCGTTGGTTCTGTCTCTTGCCTGCTGTTTCCCAGTCTGTAACTAGTGTGAGAGAGGAGAAAAATTGGTTTTGTTCTTGTTTATTTGTTTTGTGCATTTGTGTATGTGTGAGCACTCGTTACAGTGGGCATGTGGAGATCAGAAGACAACTTGCAGAAGTAGGTTCTTTCCTTCTACCATGTAGATTCCAGGGATCAAACCCAAGTCGTCAGGCTTGGTGGCAAGCACCTTAACTGCTGAGTCATCTTACCAGCCCCAGAGAAAAATTCTTGGCAGGAACAGAGGAAAATTCTTGCCCAGCACCCCCAACCCCCCATGTGTTTGACTTAATAGGTAGGTTTTGCAGGATGGGGGAGGAAGAAGTGGAGGATTAATCCCAGCCCTATCCTTTTCCAGTAGGGTGCTCTAACTACACCCTCCCTCTCTGACTTAAAGCCCTTCCACATGGTTTCATGAGGACTGGATTTGGACAGAAATGCTGCTGATAGCATGTTCCCATTCCCTGCTGGGGACCTCTATATATGGGAGGAAACTCAACCCAGGGGAACCTTAGGTCCCAGTTTGCCCAGAACAGTCCTGTTTAATGATAGTGCCTCTTTTACTTTCAGTAGTGTCTTGGTTTGGATCATAAATTATTTTGTCATCCTATCTCAAATCTTCAGGCTGAATACATATACATAAGTGCCCTTCTGTGTTCTTGTCCTCAGTTAAAGAGAGAGCTTCCACATAGTCCCTAAGTGGAGAAACTCATGGCCTATCTTCAACTCCTTTCCAGAGAGACCTGTGCTTTTCCAACTTCCTTTGAATGTACCTTCTCCTTTCTGTCCCTATTGTCAATAATCTATGCTGGAAGCTGGAATGTAGCTCAGTGGTAGAGTGCTTGCCTAATGTGGGTGAAGTCCTGGGTTTGATCTCCAGCCCTCACTCCTGAAAAATAAAATAATAGTTATCATCTATTTCTGGCACAAATACAACAGCCTCCTAGGGGTTCCCTGATGTAAGTCTTTCCCTTCTCTGATCCACAGTTCTGCCAGGGTCTTTTCAAAACAGACTGATGTCAGATGTCTCCACCACCGATAGAATGAAACCCAAAGCCCTTCAGGATCTTCAGGCCACAGCAACCCTGCCAGCTTCGTTTGTTGCCACACTCTTCTACCCATCCACACTCCTCCCCTGGGCCACACTAGGCAGCCTGCTTGTGTCTTCCTACTTGTCCTAGTGTGCTTGTTTCTTTCACTCCCTCCTAGATGGGCTCATTCTCTCTTTTCTGCCATTTTTTTTTACCTTCACCCCTTTCCTAGAACTGACTGTGAAGTGCTGCCCCTCAGCAGCCTTCTCCCAGCAGAAGTACGACTCCTTCTAAGCTCTAAGTGGACTTTGTTTTTAACACGTGCTATAGTTTGACTGATGGCATGTTGACCACTGCATACTCTGCATGTGTCTCTCCCCTGCCTCAGTAATGAACCTCTGAGGTCAAGAATGCATCTCTTGTGACACATGCAACAGGGCCTGCTATCTGAAGGAGGTCATTGTTAATGGGATGGAAGCAAACAGAACAGACAATCTCCCTCAAATGCTCAAGGCCAGGTTGTTCAATGTATCAGTCACTCATTTCTGGTGACAACAGGAACAAGTGTACATTAGTTCCAGCACAGCCCCTCAAGGGAGAGACATCTGTTCATCTGTGTAGCTCCTTGAGAAGAGCATGCTTCCTCTCACTCTCTTCTCAAGTCCTGCCATCCCATTCAAGGTCAGACTTCCTTGGCAACTTATCCACAAATCCTCTCAGTCCCTGGGGGGTCTCTTAGCTCCAATCTCATAACTTACCACAGCACATCTGTTGTTTCATTAGGTGCCATTTTGCATCAGGCCTCTTGCTGAGCTTACATCTGAGTGTGACTTAATTGATAGGTTTTACAGGGTGAGGGAAAATGAGAAGATGGGTTAGTCTCATGTCCTGTCCCTACCAGCAGGGTGATGGGGCTACACCTTCCCTCTCTGACTTAAAATCTATCCATAAAGCTCTATGTTGACTGAGTTAGGACGGAAATGCCACTCAGGGTGAGGCATATAGTCTTTCATCACAGGAGGCTAATTGGTTCAAGAGCTCTGATGGCAATTCCTGGTCAGCAACTAGACCTCCAAGGGTGGCTCCCCACCCTCCAGATCCCTTGTGTACCACATAGCAGACCACTTCCTTCCTAGAGAACTGGTGAATTAAAGAGGGAGGCCTGGACAATGTCCTCCCTTAAAACACCCTCATACCTGCCTGTCTCCTCCTCTCTGAAACTTAGCAAAGGAGGGGGAGCGGCCAGGGGAGATCCGAGAACAGATCAGGGCTCCAGGCCATCTCTTGCATGCCGACATCAGATCTCCCAGATACTAAGGCAAGCACCAGACTTTATAAAACAAGAAACTGAGAACAAATAGAAGCCATGGGTCACCAGCTCTTAGTGGCGGGTCAATCTCTTAGCCCTGAGGGACGTTTGCTCATAGTACCCAGTTGTGAAGCCCTGGCTGCCCTTCCCTTCGGGCCAGCCCCAATTTGGAGGCCACCACTCTACCACAGGAGGCTGCCCCTTCCGGCCCACGCCCTTCTCACCCACCACCTTCCTGCTCACCCATTCGCCTCGGCCTGGGGTGGCAGGAAGGGAGGTGCTGGGCACCGGCCGTGAAGAGCCCACCCCCTCCTGCTCAGAGCTGTGCTCAGGCGGGGTGACCCGGCCATGCAGTCCACCGAGGCCTGGAGCCCCAGCCCGGGGTCGGTGTCCTGGAACTACTGGGGCTCGGGTTCCCTGGACGAGGCAGAGCTGTGCCCGGCCTGGGACCTGCCGTACGGCTACACCTACATCCCAGCGCTCTACCTGGCGGCCTTCGCCGTGGGCCTGCTGGGCAACGCCTTCGTGGTATGGTTATTGGTCTGGCGGCGCGGGCCGCGGCGGCTGGTGGACACCTTCGTGCTGCACCTGGCGGCCGCCGACCTGGGCTTCGTGCTCACTTTGCCGTTCTGGGCCGTGGCGGTGGCGCGCGGCGGCCTCTGGCCCTTCGGCGACGGCCTGTGCAAGCTCAGCAGCTTCGCGCTGGCCGCCACTCGCTGCGCAGGCGCGCTGCTGCTGGCCGGCATGAGTGTGGACCGCTACCTGGCGGTGGTGAAGGGGCTGGAGGCGCGGCCACTGCGCACACCGCGCTGCGTGCTGGCCGCGTGCTGCGGCGTCTGGGCCGCGGCGCTCCTGGCCGGCCTCCCGGCCCTGCTGTACCGCGGGCTGCGGCCGGTGCCCGGGGGCAGCCAGTGCGGCGAGGAACCGTCCGACGTGGTCCAGGGCCTCAGTCTGCTGCTGCTGCTGCTGACCTTCGTGCTGCCGCTGGCCGTCACGGTCGTCTGCTACTGCAGCATCTCGCGCCGCCTGCGCAGCCCGCCGCACTTGGGCCGGGCGCGGAGAAACTCGCTGCGCATCATCTTCGCCATCGAGAGCAGCTTCGTGGGCTCCTGGCTGCCCTTCAGCGTCCTGCGAGCCATTTTCCACCTGGCGCGGCTGGGCGCACTGCCGCTGCCTTGCCCGCTACTGCTGGCGCTGCGTTGGGGTCTGTCTATCGCCACCTGCTTGGCTTTCGTCAACAGCTGCGCCAACCCAGTCATCTACCTCTTGCTGGACCGCTCGTTCCGCGACCGGGTCCGGCTCGGGGTCTGCGGGCGCGCGAGTCGCCAGGTGCGCAGGATCAGCTCGGCCTCCTCACTCTCCAGGGACGACAGCTCGCTGTTCCGGGGCCGGGCCCCGACCGCCAACTCTGCCTCGGCAGCTTGGTAGCCTCCCCAGGGCGGCGGAGGTGGAGGAGCAGCGGATCTCCTCGGCTCCGGAGAGAGGGGCCGCCGGGAGGGCGACTCTGCATCCCAGATGCTCCTGTTCTCCAGCAGCAGCATTCCGTTCCAGCCAGCACTGCCTCACCCTCTGCCTAGATCACCGGGGACTCCCCATCTGAACTACAAAGCTGGCTGCTGAGATGAACTATCCTCTCAGCCCAGAACGGGTGGGGGAGTGTGTGTGTGTGTGTGTGTGTGTGTGTGTGTGTGTGTGTGTGTGGTGTAACTGGGCTAATTTTCCCCACGGCAAGAAAGACCATGGACGGCCACCTGGAGAAGCACCGGTTCGCCTAGTACAAGCAAGGGAAGTGGGCTTCCTTCTCTACACCATCCAGATAGCTGGGACCAGAATATCCACTCCAGGCTCTCAAAGGCCCCTCTTGTCTCTGACTATTCAAAGTCCCGCTCAGAGACCTTTGTCCTCGGAAAAATGCCAAGTCTCGTCTAGCACTGTCGCAAAGACATTTTGTAGATCCTGAGGACCAACAGCCCTTTTGCTCGTTTTTGCAGCTGTGGTGCTGTATACTTAGTCATCCCCAATTCAGACTTTTATTTTCAAAGGCGCACCAAAGGCATAAGAACCCGTCCCAGTGTGAGGTGCCCAATTTGTTCCTTCCCACCTACTCTCCCAAAGTACCTACCTTGATGTGGTGACCCGTCTCTCATCAGGTGAAGCTCACCAGGAAGCTGTCTGGTCTTCTTTCTTGTTACCGGGGATCTGAAACTTTTCAGTAGGTGTTCAGATTCCCCATCACTCAGCCAGAGACCCCAATTTCTGTGACTTTAGTCTCCTCAATAAACACTTTTGCTAGCCCTAGTTGACAACTGTGTCTTTACTTGAGCAGTGAGAGTGAAATGAGTTTTCAGAATGTGGGTCCCACACTCAGAAAACCCTCAACTCAGCAACTGAGGCAGATTTCAGGGCAATGAAGGTTTGTGTAATGTTGGGACTGGGAGGGCAGTTGCACCTGTTGTGGGCAGTCATCCCTCAGAAGGGCAGAGAGTTGCTTATTCTTACTCTTTTTAAGGACATTTCACAGGATGAAAAAAAAAAGAATGAGGAAGATGTAGCTCATCTGCCTGCCAGGTGCCATTTCAAAGAGATGAGTCATTTTGATTTTTAAATGTGGACTGGGCAAAGGCTCCCCATGCTTCGGGAGCTTTTCCAGTACAAATGTTTGGAATTAACCATTTTCAGGCTTTGATTTAGCCTTTGAGGTTTCTGAAAGGCTTAGAAATTAAGTCTTTAATTTAAAAGGATCTGGTCGAGAGACATTTTGGTCAGTGAGGGAAGGGACTTGGTGACTGTACTGGTCTTCAGAGCCATGTGCGAGCTAGATCCTCATTGGATCATGGAGTGCTCACACAGATTGGTGCTTTTCTGCTAGATTGGGTCTGAAGATTGCCGTTCTCTGTTTAGCCTCTTCTCCCCTCACCTAGTACTATAGCATTTGGGGCTATTGTTTTGGAGTATGTTAAGCATCACCACCTACCTTGACCTCATCTTGCAGCTGTTCCTGTTAAAAAGAACATCTTTTTTTGCCCCTCCCATATACCCTGACAGCAGCAAGCCTTGTAGACCCTGGGTCGCCTGGGCCAGCAAAATGTACTTCAGACACTTTCAAATTTAAGAGCTCTGTTCTATCATATTCCTACCTGTCCTTCCCTGTTTCCTAAGGTGAAGACCCCAGAACTTCCAGAACAGGGGCAGTGACCCTCAGCCAGGTGTGTGTGTGTGTGTGTGTGTGTGTGTGTGTGTGTGTGTGTGTGTGTGTGTGTGTGTGTGTGTGTGTGTGTGTGTAGTGACCCACCCGTGTGTGTGTGTGTGTGTGTGTGTGTGTGTGTGTGTGTGTGTGTGTGTTTAGATCTCAGTTTATGGAACAGGTGCTTCTCTTGACTGCTGGGCCCAAACTTCCCTCCAAATTCTTCATCTTATTACAAGCTCCTGGAAGATAGACAAACAGAAGGCTTCTCAGGCCCACAGAGTGTTTTCATCTCCCTTGCGCAGTGCTTACTGAAAATCAGCATTTACCTTCCAGCATGGAACTGTGCGAAAAGCCATTTCCTCTCTTTGGGAATAGCACTCAATTGGTCTCCTGTGTGCCTTATATTCAGTGGAGTATGAGCTCTCATTTCCCAGTAAGAGAGATGAGGCATGGATGCAGGAACTAAGATTGCTGGGGCATGGCGGGAAGAACAAATCAGTGGGCGGGAGAGATGGCTCAGTGGTTAAGAGCACTTACTGCTCTTGCAGAAGACCAGGATTCAGTTCTCAGCACCCACATTGGGCAGTTTACAACTGCCTGTATCTCCAGCTCCAGGAGAATCTGATGCCTCTGGCCTCCACAGGCCCCTGTACTCATGTGTACATACCCACACAAACACACACATACACATAATTAAAAATAAAAAACAAGCTGGGTATGGTGGCACACACCTGTTGTTCCAGAACTTGGGAGGCAGAGGCAGGTGGAGCTCTGTGAGTTCAAGGCCAGCCTGGTCTACACAATGAGTTCCAGGACAGCTGAGACTACAGGGAGACCCTGTTTCAAAAAGATCAAAAATAAATAAATAAATAAAAATAAAAATAAAAAACAGCCAGGTGAGGTGATGTATACCTTTAATCTCAGCACTTGGGAAGCACAGGCAGGCAGATCTCTGTGAGTTCGAGGCCAGCCTGGTCTACACAATGAGTTCCAGGCCAGCCAGGCTACTTCATGAGATACTGTCTCAAAAACAAAATAACAAAAACAATGATCAGTAAACAAATAAAGAAAGCAATTGTTTCCTTTTCATCAAGAACTTTAAAGATGTTCATGTCTCATCCTCTCAAATTTCCACACTGTTTAACCTTGTAATCTTTCACTTCTGCCATTCCCTTCTAAGCATTAATGCTACACGATGAAAGCTTAATTGATGTGCTCTCATGAATATGATAGACTGATAGGCAAATTTTAAGATGTCATTTAAAGAAAAATAAGAAATATTGATAATAAGTTACAATGGGGGACTAGACAGATGGCTCAGTGGTTAAGAGCACTGGCTGCTCTTTCAGAGGACCCAGGTTTGGTTCCCAGCACCCACATGACAGCTAACAACTATCCATAACTTCAGTTCCAGGGAATCTGATGCCCTCTTCTGACCTCTGCAGGCATTGTACCACAGGGGTGCGCTTACGTGCAGGCAATATACTCAGAAACATAAAAATAATAAATAAAATATTTTAATAAGTTACAATGGAAAGAGTAAAATTGCAGAAGTTAATTGTATCATCCTTCAATTCTGAGGATGTAAAATTGTCAGCACTGGTTTTGTTGAAGGAAAACATTAAATGTCTCCTAGTTCTTTCAACCAAAACTATCTTTTGCTCTTTCTTATCCCTCAGGTTTTAGACATAGTCATAGATAAGATTCTTTTCTTTTGATGTTCAATGATCGAATACTAGGTATTCTATTTCTTTGCTATTTGTCTCTCCCATCAAAATGTGCACTCTATGATTATATGGAATTTTGCCATTTGATTCTATGCTGTGTCCCTGTGCCTAGAGCCATGTGTGTGTGCTGCAAGTGTTCCTTAACTACTGCTGAATGAACAGCCATCAGAGCTGTGTCATCATGTGAAATAAAGAGAGGTGTAAAAGAAATGATACTGCATTTTATGTATGATAATAGTTTTATTTGATTAAAGTACACAAAAGACTGGAAGAAAATATAATAAATGTGAACAATGACTATATTAGAATAAGAGAATCAGAGCCTTTCCCCCCTGCATTCCGTTTCAAAACTGTTCAGAAGCATTTTTAAGAACAGTAGCAAGTAATGAAGCTCCTATTGCATAGGGGCTGAAATCAGATGCGGACCCGGCTTCACACTGCATAGCCAGCTGCCTGTCCCTGGGCCCCTTGCCCAGCCTTCTGAGCCTCACGTCTTCATCTGAAGGCTGGAGCCGATCATATCTGCTAGGCTGTCTCACAGATCAAACAAAATGATGTTCTTGAAAGTTTGTTGTAAGTGGTGGTGTTTTAGACAGATGTACTCCAGAGGCACATCCTCAGGACTAACATGTTCCAGGCCCAGCTCTTCCTTTCCATGTTGTAAGAATAGAGACCTGTGGAGTTGCCCTGGGGGTTGACAAGGTCAGTATGCAGGCTGGGAATATAACTTAGAGTCCTTGCCAAGTAGATAGAAGGCCCAACAAAAGAAAGGAAGAAACAAGGAAAGAAAGGGAAGGAGGGAGGGAGGGAAGGAGGGAAGGAGTGAGGAAAGAAATAGAGGAGATAAAACAGTAGGAAAAAGAAAAAAAAAAAGAAAGAAAAAGAAAATCCACACCCAGGCAAAGACTGGTACCCAGGCCCTCTGTGGTTCTTGACTTGCTTCTTCTGACTAATTCTGACCTTTCTCCTCACTTCCCTCAACCCCATGGGTCTGTTCTCAGGGCAGGGTGTGGGAACTTGGGGCCCAGACTGATGAGTGATCTGGGGAGTTCAGAAGGGTGGCAGAGTCTGGGTGCACGTTGGTGGTGTGTGAATTGACTCATTCCTTCCCCACTGAGGGCAGAGGGACCCTGGACATGATGAGGGCATCTTGTTCATTTATCAGGTCTGAGTCCCTGTCCTCCTTGGCTGAGTGGCCTGAAGGAAGCTACTTATAACCCCCCACATCCCCCAGCTCCTTCCTGCACCTGCCACCCAGACCCAGCAAATGAAGTAAAGAATGGCCAGATCAGGAAATGCTGGTAACTTCAAGGGAGGAAGAAAGCAAAGTGGTAAAATCTCTTTTCCTCTCAGTTATCTTTAAAATCAAAAAGAGCTTACACGAGTTTGTAATAACACTGTCTGAGACTCATGTTTACATACGTCACAAGCCTTTAGAGATGCACACTTGTTTTGTCCATCCCATAAGGAGGACACCAAGAGCCAGAGATGGGAAGTCACCAACTTAAGATAATAGCAACCCTTCTATCTGTGTAGCACATTGTGGTTTTTAGAAAGCGCATATGCATGCTTTCATTGATTCTGACAACCCCGTGGCAAGCAGCAATGATTAGCTTCACTCTATCACTGAAGACTCTGAAGGTGGGAAAGTGAAGGGGCGACCACAGACCAGCAGACAGCACAACTTGGCCCCGGTCACCCTCTTGCCTGTCCCTGTCACTCCTCCCTGGTGACACACAGAGGTACCTTCTCCATTTTGAACCTAGCTCATATAGGGCAACTCCCTGAATTCTCCTTTCCCTCTCTGATTATGAAAGTAATAAAGATCCTTTGGGTTTGGGGACATAGGGTTTTGTGGTTTTTTTGAGGCAGGGTCTCACACTGTGTTGCCCCAGCTGGACTCAAACTCCTGGGCTCAAATGATCTTCCTTTCTAAGTCTGCCACATGATTGGGACTGCAGGCACAAACCACTACACTTATATTGTTTTTGTTTTTAAAAGGGAACTAAAATAAGACATACTAGAACACATATGATATGAAAGAATGGGGGAGGGGGAGATTGGGTGATGAAGTACAAGGGGAATGGAGGATAAGGCAGATTAACTAAAACTAAGGATGGATGAAGAAATATTATGAAACCCCACTGGTTTGCAATTAAAAACAAAATTAAAAAAAAAGAAACCAGTTTGATTGGAAGTACTCCCATAGAGGTAAAGACACTGCTCCCAGAAGACACAGTTATTAAATGAAAATCTTAGTGCTAGACATGGTTTACCTCCCAATGAGTTATAGGTCAGCAAGGAAACTCATAACAACACAGGCTATTGAAGTTGCTCTTGGTTGGCCATCATAACTAGATGGTAAGATCCTATTGCTGAAGACA